CCCCAAAACCCCAAAACCCCAAAACCCCAAAACCCCAAAACCCCTTTTAGATATATTAATTGATTTAAATTCTTCTTGAGGGATCTTCTGTTTAGACATAACTGAAATCATTCTTGTTCAAAGCATATGTCTCAAGGTTTCTGATCTTTGTAGGAATCTTGTAGGATCCTGGCCCAGGGCTTGAGTTATGCTTGAACTCTGCTCTCTTGCTGCTCCCAAAGCCAAATGAGGGTCCAGATGCCTTGTATTTTCTCTCATTTTGATAATGCCCAGGAGAAGTAGTAAATTGATTTAATGGTTTTCCACTAATTGTTTTCTTATGATCTCTTCCCATTGAAAATCCAGGAGCTCTCTTCTTAGTGTTGTTAGCATCTGGGGAATAATCTCCTGGTCCTGGAGCTTTCTTGATATACATTTTCGATTTTCCAGTGAAAGAATGGGCATTTCCTGGACCCTTTTTCGGGTTGTATTGGCCTGGTCCAGGATTAGGCAATACCTGACTTAATGCTGGCCTCTTTCCAGATCCCATTCCCCAAGCAGCTGATTGAGATTTAACAAATTTATTCGCTGGGCTATAAGTGTTTGGAGCCGGAGTATGTCCATAAATATCTGCAACTTTACTCTTATTTGTCTTTGCAAAGGCAAACTTAGGAGCTGATTTTCTACTTTGAGAATATTGAGGATTATAATTTCCTGCACAAGGTGCATCTTTTCCAGGCAGCACTCTGCAATCTTTCCTTCTATCTTTCATAGTGTATCCTGGGACTCCATCTCCCATGACTTTCTTTTCACTATAATCTCCAGGGCCTGGTCCAGAACTTTTAATGGTTTTATAAAATTTGTCTTTAATATCAGTTCCAAAACCAAACTTAGGTGCAGGGTTTTCTTTGGCAAATTTCTCAACTTTATAACTTCCAGGACCAGGAGATGCTTCTTTGTGCTTCCTTGGTACTAAATTTATACATTAATATCTTCATTGTCTAATTCTAGAATAAATTACCTTTTCCTCTTGTATCCTTTCCAAGTCCAGCACCTGGAATAAATTTCTTCTTATCATGATCGTAATGCCCAGGGCCTGGCATTCCCAAATTCTGAGGATCCTTACTCCTTCCAGGGATCGAGTAAGCCACCTTAGTGCTTGGTTTTTCAGGATCATAATCTCCAGGGCCTGTCTCTGTCAACAAAGGATTTCTATTATAAAAAGTCTTGCTCCCTATTCCGAACTTGGGCCCTTCGTCAATCAAGCTAGGAATTTTGTAATCAAGGGGGCCAGGCTGGTTATCACGCTTATTCTTCATTTTCTCATCCTTGGCTATACTCCATTTGGGTTCGGTCTTTTTGCCGATATTTTCAGGGAATCCGTATTTTCCTGGTTCAGGAATCTCAGTAGTCTGGGACTCCAATTCTTTGGTAACCCTCTTTTGCTTGCCCATCGTCCAAGCGACGGTATGAAGCTTTACCATTAAATTTTTATTTTTATTTTGTCAACTTAATAACAAATAAACGGGGTTTTGGGGTTTTGGGGTTTTGGGGTTTTGGGGTTTTGGGGTTTTGGGG